CATAGCAATGCCCAGCTATGATCCTGGTATATGCCCTAAGCGCTGGACCAGTTTCTTTGTTATCCTTTGTTTCCCAAACTACAACTTGAAGGTGAAATTCCTTACAGATCTCTGATCTTCTTATTTGCAACCAAATGCTACATAGGCACGGGACTGCTCAGCAAAACCGTGACTGCATGCATGCAGTCTGCCCCACTGCCAAATCTACTGTCCACAGTCTGTTCTTACGCCACCAAACCCTCAGCCAAATTCTGTGCGCCCCACGTGGCTACCTTACAAATTTCCAGACTAACCTTTTTCAGTCTTTAATTCTGCTCTCTACCATCTTCTAGTATTTATCCAGTTACTTCTCAATTAAGTGCAAATCCCTGAGTAACCGCATTTACTGTTTCGTTGTGCTTCCCTTCCAATAAAATCTGGTTTATCTCAGTCACATCTGATCTTCACATCTCTGCTGAGGTTCCTCTAAATGCCACGACATACATTTCTGTCCTTTAAATCTAAAGAGGCCTAGAGGTAAACACACTCTGCAATTAACACTGAGTCTTTTCCAATCCATCAGTGTGCACTCAGATTCTCTCAATTCAAGCAAACTTGTAACATTTCAGTTTTATCAATTTGGATATTTCCTAATAAATATCCAAGCTTACATGTTGCTTACAAATCTCTATCCTGTCTACCATTACTGGATGATGGATTATATGGAACCAACCTTTAACCCGTATCCCCAAGGCCTAGAGCAAGGCTATGTATACCCTGTGATTGCTCAATAAATATTGGTTAACTGACGGGCTGCAGATTAGAACAAGGGCTAAACTATGATAAGTCATCTGTTACTGAGGAAAGGAAAAGAACATTGGGCTATTTTCTTCAGAACTTTCCATTTTGCTAGGTTAGACTGAGATATTTTTAAAAAGAGGAAAGATCACCATACAGCAGGACACTATCAATATAAAGATAATGAATTATATATCCAATTTCTCCAAGAAGTAAGCAATGTTCCCATTAGGACAGTGGTTTTTAAACTTTCCTACTAGATATTAGGATTACATGGGGACTGGTATTAAAAAAAAAAAAAAAAAAAAAAAAAAAACCATTTCCTACATAGTTCACACCCTCTAGCATTTAAATCAGACTGGGGATGACAGCCCAGCATCACTATTTTTAAAAGTCCCAGGTGACCTTTAAATGTGCAGACCTTTTAATGTGCAACAGAGTTTGGGAAGACTTATTTCGTGAAGTCCTTCGGCTTGGTACACACCACCACAATTTCCTGCTGGTACAGGTGATACCAACTGTATTCCTAACAAACACTTGCTTAATGAAGGATCAGAGGATCTGACTCCCACATATGCTATAACTTCATGAGCAAACAACTCTGTGTAAATGAATGAATGCTTTGATCCTGATATGATGGCAACACTGAATTCTTGCTCTTCTCAAAATTAGAATAATCACTCAATCGTCTCACCCAGATGACTATACAAATCATGTGTGTTACAGGTTTGGATACATTAGCATTTCATTATAGTAAAGTGTTATCTTTTCTTAAGGTACTGAGACCTACTGTAAATTTTAGGCAACTGCCTGAGGATTTAACTATTTCAATGATGGCAGGAGTAAGGTGGATAATTTTTTGAACATCAAATGTCACAGCTGGGATAACTGTACTGCTGATGTCTGATGGCACATTGAAAGGAACAGTTAATGCTTAAAATTTTTATATTTTGACCAATTTTGCATGCTTGTATCTGGTAATCTGAGCAACTGATTTGAAGACAACAATATGCAATGGAACAACCATTGGTGAATTCCTACCGTCTTATCTAGTGAAACTCTATTAACTCTAATGTTTTATTTAATAATTATTTTTTATTCTTTTTCATGGTTTGAACAATCTTCCATTCATACATCTGGCAATCTGAGCAACGTAGTGGAAGATAACAATATGTAACACAATCACCACTGTTCATTCCTATCATTTTGTTTTGAAACCCTGTATCACTTTTAATGTTCTTGCTTTGTTTTGTTTATGTCTGTGATGTTGGCATGCTGCTGTTGTTTTTTCTTTTTACTACTCTCTTTAAAATAGAAAAAAAAAAAAAAAGGCATGCTAAGAAAAAGGTAAGCAAAAAAATTCACTTTACTGTTTTAATCAAAACATATAAAATGGTAGTTTTCAGACAATGACAGTCAGTTTTAAATAACTCTCCAATAACATCTTACTAAATATCGCTGGCCATTTGGCACATAGGCTCAGGAAGTGCCTGGCAGTCATTAATGTGCTACTCACCAACTACTTCCAACTCTCACCCTGGGAAGCTATGACATTTTCCAGGCTTGCCGTAGGTTGTACTTTGTAGGCCTTTTGAGGTTGAGTGGGACCATGAGGCTGTTTATGGCCAAATGGGAGGAAACAGTACTCACTTCCATGTCAGAGCGTTCACTTGCTGTTCTGAAGTTCACCAGACCTGTCACCCTCTGGCAAGGCAGCCAGGAACTTTGAACTTGGCTGCTCCAGAAGCTCAGGCATCTGAGTGATGAGCAAAGCCCCCACTAACACCGGATGAGTACAAAGTTATGTCTTATGTTTTAAACCATGGGGATCTGCAGTTTCTTATTACAGGAACATACACTAGCTTTATGCTGACAGAAAAAAGGCAGCACCACCTCTAGCATAACAGAAGAACAAGAGCAAAAAGAGCTAATTTGAGGGAAATCATTAATAGCAATATATCTTGAAGGAACTTCCAAATATAAGACAAAAACTTCAGACTACAATATTCCTCATCCTTTTTAATCACATGATCCGACTGTTGACTCTTAAACTATTTCTAGTCTATTACTTCACTAAAAGCAAAACGTTTCAATAATCTTTGGACCTTTGGGAATGAAAGACTTAAGAAACTACAATTTTTTTTCTCCTTTTTAAATGGGAAATTCTATCATAAAATGCATACCTTCACTCAAAAACAAACTATAGTAACACACATGCAGATTCCAATATATTCAATTCAATGGATACAACACTCCATAAAACTATACATCCCAATCAGAAAGTCTTCAGGTAGATCTTTATCTGATCAGACAGAATCAAGTATTATAAAATATACCCTTTGAGGGAAGAATTAATCGAAATTAAGCATGTAGATGATACAGTTAAAGATCTAAGGACCTCAGGGAAAAAAAAATAAACCTGAGTGCAGAGCGAGAAATATTAATGGTAACTTTTGAAATTTCTGCAGCACTAAGAAAATGAGCAGATTTGTCAGTTCAACTTCAGCATAGGGCCGAATGAATGAAAATCTGATGCCAGTCTTAATCACTGCTGGAAGAATATGGAGGAGAAGGCTTTTCGTGACTTGAATTGTTATTGACAGGTGAATCCTCAAATCATAAAGAGCTCATAACCATCTATTACCCAGCACTCTACTTTCACAGGTTGCTGTCTGGCTTTCTAACAAAGACCTTGTTTCGATGGAAAATGTGAATGAAATGCTTCATCTCACACCAAGTCATCCAAAATAGGAGGAGAATATACAGTACACAATAGTTAATTAAATATTCACTTTACCCATATGTCACAGGGTCTTTAAACAAAGGAAACTACTACTCCCACAAACAGCTTCTTTCACAATGTTCATGATCTGGGTTCTCCAAAGTCAGACTAAAGGGCTCAGAATACAATAGCCCTGTTTTGTTCTTAGGAACAAAGAAAAATCTCTTGGGCTTTTAGTCAGGAAAGGATTAACTTTCCTTAAACTTAAAATGACCCAAATATTTATCAGCATGTGAACACATAAACAATACGGTACATCCATATAATAGAACTTATATGTCCATATAATGGAATATTACCCAGCAATAAAAACAAGTGACCTAAGATTTCACCCAGGAAGAAGAATCCTAAAACCACTATGCCAAATAAACCCAAAGTTAAGACAATAAAACTGCAGGATTCTATTAAAATGAAATGTCGTGATTTTTTTTTTGGGAAGCAGAACTATCCTGATAAAAAGTAGCTAAGAGTATGCCAAATATCAGAGCAAGCATGGGAAGTGACTGCCAAGAAAGGAATTTGGCGGGAGGAGGAATCATGTATCTTCTATGATTGTAGCAGCAATAGTTACACAACTGTATACATTTCTCAAAAATCAATGATTTGTACAGATTAAATTAACTGTATACAAGTTATACATCAATAAATCTGTGGTGTCTTGTTTCTTTCTTTCACAGTGCGTTCCCCTGAGCTATACCCGAAGTCCTACAGATGAGTGTAACAGAGGCCCAACATAACAAAGGAGGATGAAAAACATCCTCAAGGTACTTGAACCAAAAGCAGTTAAAATCGTTTGTCCAACGTTGATGATTCTTCCTGTCATTTTTATGAGCTGTGTCCCCCTGGAATTCATACACTGAAGCCTGAACCCCAGTACTTGAGATAGGGCCTTTGAAGAGGTGACTGCATGAAAATGAGGACATCAGAGCCCTAATCAAATATGACTTGATTTCTTTTAAAAGGAAATTTAAATCCATGCAATATACAACAGGAACATGCAAATACACAGAAAAAGCCGCGTGAGTACACAGCCAGAAGGTGCCCGTCTGCACAATAGGGAGCAAGGCCTCTGAAGAAACCATGTCTGCTGACACTTTGATCTTGGACTTCCAGCCACTAGAACTATAATAAATAGCTAAGCCTCTCGTCCAGCCAGTAGTGTTTGATATGGCAGATCTAGAAGCAAATGCAATTCTCATTTCAATACTGACTATATGGTTTAATACAAAGGAGAATGAATAAATTTCTCCCACATTTGCATGAGGAAAAAGGACAATCTCACAATGTCATATGAGGAAACAGACTGTGATACCTAGAATGAGCATTTTGCATTAACACATTTCCTGCTACAACACTTAACCACACAATGAGGATTTTAAGTGGACTTTTAGATTTTACATACTTATATCCTTTCATAAATAAAATTATTTATTCACATTACCTCGCGTTTCAACTGCACTGATGCATTTTTTCAGAATCGTGAATCCCATTGTATCCAACTGTGCACCTAAAAGAAAGAGTTACAAAACATTAAGGGCACAAATGCTCAACATATCTGCCTTCCTTAAAAACAGAGAAAAATAATTTAACTGAATCCAATTTGGAATCATCTACTTAAAAAACAAAAATCTAAGGGCCATGTATTTCCTGGGTAAAGGATGGAAGTACAGTTGTTATAATTGAAAATAATTTAGTTGATGCAATTTCTTTTAAACAGTTGAAAAGAAAGTGACATAAATCTCTTAAGAGAAGCTATCTGGAAATAAGATGTGTTTTGCCAAAAATTCTAACACTAGCTCAATTAATGAAACTGCATATATAAATGAAGGCTCTTAAATTGCATGAGTGTCTAAGAATATAAACGTTTAACACAAGAGAGAAATGTTTTAGAAAAGCTTTAAAAAAAAACATTTGGGCAATGAGATTTAATTAAAATTTTGATATTTTATACCATGCTCCAAGTTTTTAAAATAATATTTATTTTCATATTAGATGAAAAACAGATGATTCATGTGGCAGATCTAATCTTTTTGAAGATACAATTCCATATTTTTCCCAAGCAAGACGCTTGCCTGTGAATAGAGTGACATATTTGTTCGTATCCTAATGAAAGCCAATGCTTGGTTCAATTAAATTAAGAAAAGCAGCGCCCTCAGTCACAGCATTTAGAACCCAGGGAAGTTAACCCTAAATCTTGGGTTTTTAAAGGGGGAGCAGAAACAATATCTCAGTCTGAACTTTACATGTAATCTGTCATGCTGGGCCTGAGGAGAGTTTTACTCGTGGAAATGAGGTGGTGGCTTACTCTTGAAGAATCCACTCTTCACAAAAGTTTTACAAAACACAAGTGTTTCTATCTGCTTAGCAAAAATATCCTCCAACCCTAAAAAGGGCGTGTTTCAACTTTTCTATAATGAAAAAGAAAAGAAAACAGCAAGAAGCAGAGAATGCGGAAGAGTAGGGAAAAGAGAATAGGAAAAAAAAGGAAATGGAGGAGGAGGAAAGAGGAAAAGCACAAAGCAGAGGACAGAAAAGGAAGAGGGGAGGGGGCTGAGCAGGTGCTTCGTGGATGTGCCGCCTTCTGAGATGCCCTATCCACTGCCAGGCGAGAGAAGATGTCATTTATTCAGCACGGGCACACGTGATCACAATTACTTCGGGGTCACACATTACATAATGCAGTGTTTCCAAACTGTGCTATCTGATTATGTAACCTTAAGTCCTCTGAACATATTAAAACATAACTTCATTCAGTCCCTAAACTGATCACATCTTTATCTCAGTATTAGTCCACTGTACAGCGCTAAGCACTATTTCATTTTCCTCTAAGTATATATGACACACATGAAGATCCTTGCCCTACAATATGTAAATATATTTCACTATTTGTTGTTGTTTTCTTTTTTTTCCGGTACCGGGAATTGAACTCATGACCTTGCACTTGCCAGGCAGGCGCTGTGCCGCTGAGCTAAATCCCCAGCCCTGTTGTTGTTTTCTAAAGTGTCTCTGCAATACTATTTGTAAAAACTCATACCCAGATACAGTAAAGAGAATGGGTACCGGGTTTGAATGGAATGCAAAAGTTGCCAAAATCTAAACGGAATCACTTGTGTCAATTCAAACTCAGAATAGTAAAGAAAGCCACAAGGTTATGAAAAAAAGATTTTTCCACATGATGGCCTAAGAATAACTATTGCAGACAACTTTGTCAAAATCACAAGCTTCCAAATGGACCATAGCAAACTTCTACCAAAAAAAAAAAAACAAAAACAGAATAAAAAGTACTTCTTCAAGGACATCAGCCCAACAGCTAACTGCTCCACCTCAGGTCTAAGCCACTCATTAATCACTGTGGCAAAAGAATATTGTTTCACAACACCTGATGTAATCTTCATTTTTACCTTTAAAGTGTTCTTTACCTCAACATCTTTGAATACATCTATAGTTTACTATGACATGCATATTGTATCACAGTGCTCTGCTATTCCCAAGTAAGTATCATTGTTCTTTGGAAAATCTGATTTTTTTTTATTTAGATTGACAAAGGATAGGGTAAGGAAGGTTGGGAAGAGAATTGTGCAACTCAACCAGGAACTGCAAGATCATACCCTAAATTTTACATGATGTGTGGGTGAAAGAATAAACAGCAAAGTGAACTCCAGAGAAAAATCACATATAAAAGCTCACAAATAAGAAAGATTAAGGAAGGCTACAGCAGCTAGGAGGACTCTAAGAAAGTCTCCAGTGGATGAGACAGAATACATACGGCAGTCAGAGGACGCACTCCAATAGGGTACAGAGTGTGTGCCCCAAGCAACACTCTGGTATCCGTAACAAACACAAAGCAACACATGAAACAGTAAACCAAACAATCATTCTATAAATTAGCACTTACTTCCTTCTGGCCTTGGGATGATGGCTCTGTTAAAACTGTGGAACAGCTAGTGAGAGAGAAAAAGAAAAGGAAAAAATGGTAATTTTAACAAAGCAGTAAAAATGACCCAAATAGGTAGTCCACATAGGGCCATACAAAACAGTTTGTAGAAACTTCCTACTGGTTAATATGGTATAATAAGAAATGTATTTGGTCTTTGTCACTGTTTTGTGGTACAAAGTTCTAAAACTCTTGAGATGGCCAGAACAGAAATATCTTTTGTTACGTACAAGGATCCTCCTTCTATGGCACCTGAGTTTATACTAACAAAGTGACTCAGAATTAGGACAGGGACAGACAGCCTCAAGATGGGGCTGGACATTTGGCCATGCTGGTCTCTCTGGGGGCCCTGCAGGTTAAGCTCTGTAATATTCCTAACAAGGGGCTATGAAGAGCTTCACTGGGCGGGGGGTGCCCCCTAGAGGGCGGGAGAGCCCTCTGACCCATTCTAGCTGATCAGGGAGCCCAAGAAGCAGTCAAGGGTCTCCCCCAGCACAGCCTGTCAAGGGGGACTGTGGAGACCCAGACTTCTGACCCGCATCTGAGCACCTTGGGGGATTCTGCTGCTAACTCCAGGCAGAAGGGTCGGAATTGAGTTGAACTGTAAGACTCAGACCTGGTGTCAGAGAACGAGGGAGGGCAGGAAAAAGCCCACACAATCTGGTGTCCTGAGTGAGCTCACACAAAAATCCTAGGGCCATCCCAGCACTACACATCACTATGAGCCCACATGTAAAGAAAAATAACAAAACCTCTGAGTTGAATTCTCTCTCACAGAGGTATGTCAAAGAAGCAAAATATGATGAAGGGATTATGGTCATTAAGGAATTTGCTGAATGTATCTAAATTTGAAATGTTTCGCCTTACAGTTATCAGATGACAAGCTGCTGTTGTCTGATCTATAAAATGAGGCTTCTGTTTTCATTATTATTCCTAACACCTGGTATTTACTTAAGACAGACACCCCTGCCCATCATTTAAATAAGTATGTCTGCAATATCAAGGCGGCAATTCGGAGCAGCCTCTAAAAATTCTGCCGGCTCATTATTTACAAGCATATAGCACCTGCAAAAAAATGCCCTAGCTCATGGCTCCCCATATAAGGGCAGCGCCTCACCCCGCCGTCCTGTGCTTCACCAAAGTGCTCACTGTGAGCACGAACTAATGCTGTTTTTAGCATATCTCGTTAGGTCTGCACTGAGCTCTCTCACTGTACCATTCAGGACACCCCATCCCACTTTTGGCAGTCACACCCTTTCCTTTCTTCCCAAACCCTTCAGAAATGTCAAGTGCTTGTAAACCTGCCTGATACCCACTCTGGCAGTTTACTGGGAGTCACTGCCCTTGATGCAGACTTTGTTTTAATCGGTTCTGTGGTCTTTTCAATAATTTTCCTCACTGAACCCGATTCATTTCATGATCTGCTAAATTCTCAACTCCCAAAAGCCACAACTCCATAGAAACTGAACAAAGTGGCAACAGGATGAATTCAGATGCCCTCCGACCTGTATCTCTAATTTATTTCTCAAAGCAATACAACAGCTAGGCATGGAGGTGCATGTCTGTCATGCCAGTTCTCTAAGAGGCTGAGGCATGAGGATTAGCAATTCAGGCCCTAACTGGGCATCTTGGCAAGGCTCAGTCTCAAAGTAGAAAATACAGAAGGGGGCTGGGGGTGTAATGCACTGCAAAGCCCCTGGGTTCGAGAGAAACGAGAAATAAAAACAAATGATATGCCAGTCAGGTGTGTGCTGCTGCCCCAAGCCAAATTACTGAACTGCTGAATACACAATTCCAATATGAGTTCAAATATCCGTTGCAGCAGGGAACATGTGTCAAATACTATAAACCAAAAATAACCCAGAAACGAACACAAGCCAGCTCTACAGGATCTGAAGTAAGACTCCGCGGCCGAGGATGCTTACAGCCTCTCTTCCACCCAGTGCTTCTAGCCACTGCCTCCGCTCCTCCTCCGAGAACGCCTGCATGGTCAGGGACACGCCGGGCCTGGAAGACACAGCGCAGAGCACGTCAGCAAATTGCAAGGCTTCCTCTTCCCCTTGCAAGTATTTTTCTGTTGATTAAGCTTTCTCTTTTTTAAATGTGTAACTGTGGTAAAATATGTGTAATTAATATGTATGATCTTAGCCATGTCTACACGCACAGTACAGTGGTATAAAGTAATTCACACTGGCATGCAAGCACCCCACACCAGCTCCATGACACAGTAACTCCTCGAGCCCCATCGCCTCAGCCCGTGGAGATCATCACCCTACTCTCTCCCCTCACTGAACTGGACAGAGGAAATGGAAAGCATAAAAGCATTTGCCTTTGTGACTGGCTCATTCTACTTAGTATAATTTATTTGAAATCTATCCATGATGGAGCATGAATCAGAACTTTCCTCCTTTTGAAAGCTTGCTAATAGTCCACTGTATACATATGTATCACATTTTTTGCGCCCATTCATACATGTGTGACACTTCAGTTGCTCTTACATTTTGGCTACTGAGAACAATGCTGTTATGAACATGGATGTAAGGACGCCTACTCAACTCCCTACTTTCCATTCTGCCCAGCATTATGACCAGCAGTGGAATTTCTGGACCATTATCACGCATCTATATAAATACACAGCCAAAGAAGCAGAACAAAAGATGCTGCCCAGCATGTGTCACCAGGGAAGTACAAAGTAACAAGACAGGTAAGAAAGGCCGAAACCCAAGTACTGAAAACACTAAATGTTTATGAGGGTGTGGAACCACAAGAATTCTTATTCATAAAGACAGCTTGGTGATTTCTCAAAAAAAGCAGGAGTACCAGACAGCCATGTACCAATGTTTGGTGGTATAGTATTTACGCAAAGTTGTTGGAATACCCATGTTCACACAAAAATATGTACAAGAACATTTCTAGCAGCTTTTTTCATAACTGCCAATACTTGGAAGTTACCCAGCAGTCTTTTAGTAGACAAATGGACTGATAAATACTGCTACATCCAATAGACCATTATCCAGCATTAAAAAGAAAAGAGAATATCAAGGACACGGAGGGACCTTCAGGGTGTAAGTAAGACTCAGTGAAAGAAGGCAGTGTGAAATGGCTACATGCTGTAAGATTTCAAATCTAAGACAATTCTGGAAAGAGCAGATCTACAGACACAAGAAAAAAATAGTGGTTGCCAGAGATCAGATGGGAAAAGACGAAGAGGCAGTGAAAACACTCTGCATATTAAGATGAAAACATGTCATTAATACATTTGTCCAAACCTACAGAATGTACAACCCCCTGAGTGAACTCTAATATAAACCACTGACTTTGGGGAATTGTGACATGTTCATGCAGGCTCACAGATTAAACCTGCAATGGATCATCTTGAGGGGGAGGGCTGATACAGGAGAAGCTACGCATGTGTTGGGACAGGCGGCATATAGGAAATCTCTGTACCATCCTCTTAATCTTGATGTGAATCCAAAACTGCTCTTTTTAAAAAATCAAGTTTCAAAAGCTTTATCTTAAATGCAGAGTCTCCTAAAAAACACACATTTGAGACACAAAGATCAGTCTCACTGCTACTCCCATAAACCAAAAGAGAAGGGCACAGTGAAAAGCTAGAAGGCACCATAGGCCAGAGACACAGGACTCTGGTGGCCAGGCTAGGGGTCTGGTTTATTCTAAACATCACTCAAGGTGTTTAGTAGGGGAATAACAACCAGTTATTAAACTATGTTTTCTCTCTCTCCCCCCCCACATCAATAACTAATAAAGGGATTCACTGGAAATCAGAAATAATATAGCCAATAAAGATGTAATAAAGTGAAACTCACAAATTCAGGTAACAGGCCAAAAATAAAGCCCTTATTCTAAAGCCCACTGTGCTCTCCCCAAGGATTTATCACTGATGCTCTAAGTAGACATCAGATATTCTTAACCAAGCTGCACATGCAGCAGAACATAAAGATGAAGAATGACTAATTCTGGTCACTTGGAACATAAGAAGCAATGAATGACAGTATTTAAGGAAGTATGAACTAGAATTCTGGATACCGTGATGGGAGGGAGCATTTCCCACAATTCAGATTAAGCAGCCACATGACAGTGCAAGTCCAACGTGGCACAAAACATTCGCACTGCTCTAATCCTCGCCTGTAAGCACAGTGACTCCAACCTGAGCCACTTCACCCTTAGGAGGACACAACAGAGAGGCATTTCCTTCACCGACACCTACCTCTACAATGTGAGTATGGGGAAGATAAAACATCATACACTCAAAACATGTTTGAATCATCTTAAATCTCTTGTTTTTATTTTAATAATCAACTGCTAAGAAATCATTAAGCAAAAATAAGACATTAGGAAATACTGGCAACAGTTCAAAGTGAAGTATTACATAGTAGTGTCTGAAGTACTTCAGACTCGGTGGGGGGGTGACTTTTGCAGTTGAACATCGCTAATCTGAAAATGTAAAATCTAATACACTACCAGGGGTTGAGGGTGTACCTCAGTAGCTGCGCAGAAGATGCTTTGCATCCAGGAAGCCCTGGGTTCAATAACCAGTACCACAAAAAATGACCAAGAAATACGACAAAATCCAAAACTTTTTAAGCCCTGACAGGCTGCATGCAGGATTTCAGATTTCACATTATTTCAGATGAAGGATGCCCCATCTATAAAAGCATCTCTCTGGTAAACTACATTATAAGATTTCCATAGTCTTCTAACAAGGAAAGACATGCAGTGGACCTAGAAGACCACAAGGCAAATATAGGATTGGTAGAAAACAACATCTTACAACAAAGTGTTAAATTGGTCACACTGAAATAAAGAAGCCGCTGCACCTCCATGCCAAAGCTAAGTGAGCAACATTACTGACTCCATCGGAGCTGGAATGAGAACCGAGAAGGTTTGAAGTTGAGATTCCTAGAGCCAATACCACCGCTGCGCATTACACTGGCACAGCTGAGAACACTGCCATTCACTCCTTCATCTAACTTCCATTTCAAACAAGTACTATCGAGTGCCTACTAGGTGCCAGAAGCAGGATTAACCTCAAAAACATCTGTCATACAAAGTGATCCAAAACTGACTCTCGATTAATGCAAAGGCAATGATATAAACTTCTTAAAGGGAAACATGAAGCAGATAAGAGACCAAGCTGCCAATTAGTCTTTCTTTACTTAAAACCATAAATAATGTGTACAGAGGAGAAGGCTGGAGTTGAAACCAGCAGAAGGAAACATGATAAATTTTTCTTCTGAAATGAGCACTTCAGCCTCTTTTCATGAAAACAAAACAAAACAAAAAATAGTGCCGGGGATACAGCTCAGAGGCAAAGCGCCTGCCTGCAAGTGCAAGCTCATGAGTTCAATTCCTGGCAGAAAAAAAACACCTGTACTACAGTTCAGGCACTAGGTTAGGCCCTAGCCTGAGAAGAAGAATAAGGAGCTATGATCTTTATTCTACACTTTACTCTTATCTATTCATTAACTTTAAAATGCATTTTATAGTTCACTAAAAGCATGAACAAAACACATTTTTCTTGTATTTTACTTGAAAGGCCACTGAGCTTTGAAATTCAGAAAATATCCAAAAGGATAAAAAGAAAGAGAGACGTTCACAACTATGAGACATTAACGTAAATGGAAGAGTTGCTAAATAAAAGATAAGCAGCAGCAATGGAAACTTAGCACAGCAGCAGGAATATGCCAGTGCTTGTCTAAGAGAAACGCTGAAAGGGGACAGGAAAAACCAAAACTGCATGTGACACACTCACACTCAATTTTATTAAGAAAAGGGAAAAGTGCCAACGTTAAACAAAAGACCTTTAAAGGTTACAGAAATGATAACAGTTGCAATCAATTTCCCATAAGAGTTTCTAGAAAAAAATGAAGTACAAATCTATAAATTACACATTTTCCAGAGATTTTAAATGTATGTTGCTTAATTTCACTATGGGTGAAATCTTTATGACAACTTTTCTTCTGTCCACCAAAGAGTTGTTTCAAATTGAGCAAACACGCCATAACACAGGTGGAAGTGGGATTATGTATTCCACTAAAAGTGAATTCAAACAATGGCTGACTGACGCTTTGATTACAATGGAGAAAATTATGAAAGATCCTCATCTACACCTGTAATGGTTGATACAATGTGTCAACTTGAGAAGTTTAGAAGCACTTAACAGGGGGGTCAGGGTCCTCACTTTGTAAATATCTGAGCCTGTCCAACAGGAGGGCACAGAGATAGAGTGAGTGCTACACCCACC